ACGATTTTTAAAATTCATTATGTGTCCTGTTCATCCGCTGTAACAAGGTTTGACTGTATTTCATTCTGGATAAAGAGGGTATAATTGCTTGCAGGTTGCCAATCACTACTGGAAATAAGCAAACAAAAAAAAAAATAAATCGTGGTTGTTGTTGTTTGTTGGTTATGAGAAACGTAAGTGTATATACATTATATCCTGTAACTCTTATTCCTTCCTCTTTAGCTATGGTCCCCTTTGTGCGAAGAAATTTTCTTCATCTTCCATGATTCCTTTTTGAATTCAATGATTCATCTTATTTAATTGAAAAAAAGAAAAATAAGTAAAGTACAAGATAATGGGAGGTAAAACGAATAAAATTATTATGATAGTAATAGAGTATAAATAAATCAAGGTTGGGCGACGAAAATATTTTGGAGTGTAAAAAGTATTCGTCAAACGGGGCACATGTGACGAAAAGTGACGAAAAGTGACGAAAAGTGACGAAAGTGACGAAAAGTGATAATGGGTAAAGTCAAATTGTGATAAAGATGACGAAAATATTGAATTCAATTTTATTAGATTTAATTAAAACAAAAATTTAATTTTTTACATCGTAAATCATGTTTCTTGGTTGGATGCTTAATTTTTGTACACAAATTTTAGTAGGAATTGCTGCTTCACATCTATTGCTTGTTTCATAACTTTCTTCAAAATCTGTAGAATCATTGATTGTTGAAATGATTCTTCATTTACTATTTTAATGGAGTGTAACCTACATCAAACACAGGACGTCCTGTAGCTAATTCTTGATTATTGTTAAATAAACTTTCAGGTATATTATCTAATTTTAATGTTTGCAAATTCATATTATATGATGATTGAGAAGGAACTGGTGAATTGGGTGAATTAGAATTTGACATCATGAATTTTATTTACTCCATAATTTAAAATCTACAAAATAATTGGTTTATTTTATTGTTTTGTTGATTTCGTCACTTTCGTCAAATTACTCAAAGTGTAAAAACCATATTTCGTCACATTTATTTTTGTCATGTGACGAAAAGGAGATATAAATAAAGTAAATGATATATTGTTTTATGGTGTGGAAAAAATAGACTATAATTTCCATTCCAAAGATGATAATTGTAATCCAGATAAAGAGATAGTATCAAAAACCACAACTATAATTCCAAAATAGAAATATAATATCTTTGACTTTTAGCAACCAAATAAGACACAGAAACACGTAACATATAAAGAAACAATAGTAGATTTTCTAATAAAAGTGGACCTATCAAAAAGAAGTCATATTGAATAATATAAAACACGAACCGGTGGCTATTGACAGTATTTATAAGATTCGTTAATAATTTCTTTTATTTATTTTAATAGGTACTTTGTTCAAGTTGCACTGTCGACCGTTTAATATTGACCGATTAAAGTTTTGTTTTAACCGGCGGTTAATCAATTCGTTAACCAGTTAAAAGCCGCAGTAGGCACGTGTTATATGTAAAAAAAAATTTTAAAATTTTATTTTAATAATAATAATAATGGTCGCGTAACAATTCTGCAACACTGATCCTTTTTTTTTTTGGAAAAAGGGGATTTAATTAATGCAATATTGTATACATGCCCTTTAATAATTTATTAGTATTAAATGATATCGACTAAAATATTTTGACGTTGAATTCTATCACTGGTAAAGAAAATAAACATAGTTAAACGTTTGTTAAGGTGTACAACTTTATCAAAATTTTGACCTTTAACTAAAATCGTGCACCTTTACACAAACATTTACTGCAGTCAAATTTGAATTTTTTACCAATGTATCTAATTTAAATAATTTTTATTTTCTAAAATAATAGTGGTCGCGTAACTATTACCACATAAAAATCATCTTTGTAATTTTTTTCTTTGGCTCTTTGGAAAGCAGATAGGACCATTTTTTATATTTTTATAAATTTAAATCTGTGTATCACAATTCAAAACTCTGAATTCAGGGAAAATTCAAAACAGCAACCCAGGTGCAAACTTTATTTTAGAGAGAGGTGATATCGAAATCATGCGAAGATGTATATATTTGTAGAGTTATTAAAGTGTTAATATCTTGATTTCTTTCATAATTGTAATTTTCGGTTTGGCTTTTTTAAATATAAAGAACTGGAAATTTTCGTTTATTCGGAGCTTTAAAATTGTTAGTTGTTTATTATATATTGTAATTGTTGATTATAAAGATCATATTGTTAGTATTAATAATAGTGACAAAGGACCAAATAAACCACCTAACCACAAATATTTATCAAGTTCTTTTACATCAAGAATCAAATCTTCCACCAAGATCTATCTAATAATGTAGGGTTTAAATTCTATGGCAATCCTAATAAACCTTTTAATATTTCATTATCTTTGTATTTATTCTGCAAGTGCGAACTTAATATCGTAATAAAATAAAGCTCTGTAATAAATAATAATAAACTTTTAAGAATATAATCGTTGTTTTCATTTTTCGTTTAAGTGCTTTGGCAAAAGGCAATTTTTATTGCTTTAGTGAATAAGTAAGGGTAAGATTGAGACTAATGTTGGTTAAACTGGTAAGCGCTAATAACGCGATTTGCTTTGATGGGGTAGGCAAAGGTTAGGACTAACATCCATTGAATATTAACAACGGTTAGTGGAGTTTTGCCCAAATTTTAATTGGAAATACTGGTAGTTAATCTACTTGTATTGTTTTGTAAATAAACCAAAGAGAATTTGCAATTGGTCATAAGTAAATAAAAGGAACTTTTGAGCTTAGAAACTGGGCCATATCTAATTATTCAGTGTGCTTACAGATTTGCTGAAGCTTTCTAGGCGCAAGAAAAAGGCAGTTAGCGAAAACCAAGATAAATTTGTAAACTTATTAATTTACAATCACCGAATTATTATTTATTGACTGTAGTTGACTGCTAACAAGTGTAACCAATAATCGGCGTTAACAGAAAGCCACTACTTCTAAGAAATCAGTTACCCTTTCATATTCATTATTCATTAGAACCATTATATATAAATTTTATCATTTGTAGGTTTTTTCAATTATTTTAAAATTGAAAAAAGGAGGATTCCAAGCTTGGTCCTGTAGTGACAGATGAAGCAGATTATGTTTGAGTAAATCTGTTAAATAAACATCAAAAATAGTTTGAAATATAATCTGATTATGAATAACTTATAAAGGGAGAATAAAGAAATTTGATCCACTTTTCAATTTTCATCTTATGGAATCATGGCGGACACAGGTACAAGAGAAGATAAGAAGAAATTTTTAGTATCAAAGAGGAACCATACTTACAATCCTGAACACGAAAGATTCAGATCGGTATGGTTCAGCAAATGTACAGTATCTATTTTTGTGCTAGAATCGTTTGGATCATTCAAACCGGTTCCAAACATCATCTATATTGACTTACTGATAACACAAGTTACACGTAAGGATCTAAAGATGGAGGCTGTTGTTGATTTCAATTAAAATCTGGAACAAATGCATTAGAATTCATGCGGTTTACATGTTGTTCATATTGCAGCAACAACATTTGATAATGCTGCTTTTGGAATATCAATCCTCCTCATGTCTTCTTTCCTTGATAAATCTTGCAACTAATCTAATAAAGATACCCCATTGAATATGAAAAATGAAACTAGGTAAATAGAGTGCTTAATAACAGATTTAAAAATTGGAATTTAATTTATATTTGTTACCTGGTGAAGAAGGTAAGCTATGAATTCAATATAAAAACAATTACTTTCATAAATACAGTACTTACCCAAAAGTTTCGGACCCCCTAAGTTCATTAATTACGCAAAATACTACATAACATTTACACTAAAAATTTATATTTATTTATAGCTTAGATTTTCGAGAAACTATATATAAAATTCCAGGCTTTTAGCACTGATAGATCTCAAATAATAATAAATAAAAAATTTCTGATTAATTTTCGAAAATAAAAGATCTTGACAAGTGATTTTTTAACAATTGCACCAAAATCTATATAGAAATGTGTTTTGAAATTTTTAAATGTGATAGTCTAAGATCATTGGAATCTCAAAAAAAAAAACAAAATAATTTTTTTTTATACGTAATTCTATTATCTTTTTTTTTTGATAAATTTTTAAACAACACGAAAATGACTAATTTAACTGAAGCTGATCGTGGTCAAATTATTGGTCTTTATAAAGGTAATACTTCAAAAACAAAAATTAGTAAAATCCTTGGCTTTTCTAAAACCACAGTTATTCGAACTATACAAAGTTATGAAGAAAGAAGGGATGTTAAAAACTTGCCTCGAAGTGGCCGACCAAAAATACTAAATAGTGATCATCAAAAATTATTGAAAAAAATTGCCATGAAAAATAACCACAAAACAGCTAAAGTAATAAAAAATCAACTCAATCAAAAAACTGGTTTGAAAGTTTCAATAAACACAGTCAGAAGAGGCTTGCATGCATTGCAAGTAATGGATGGCCTACCAAATATTAAATTTTAAATGTATATATTTAAATGTTGATGTTGAAAAAATCCGTCAAAAAATTCAAAAAATTGATCTTCAAAATTTTTATTTTCGAAAATTAATCAGAAATTTTTTATTTATTATTATTTGAGATCTATCAGTGCTAAAAGCCTGGAATTTTATATATAGTTTCTCGAAAATCTAAGCTATAAATAAATATAAATTTTTTGTGTAAATGTTATGTAGTATTTTGCGTAATTAATGAACTTAGGGGGTCCGAAACTTTTGGGTAAGTACTGTATATTAAAAGAAAGAGCATTATTTAATTAGTTTTTTAATTTGATGTCATTTTCAGAGAAATGACATTTCAAACTCTTTCGTCTTCCCTTCTCGAATTTATGAATATTTAAAAAAGCTGTTTGACACATCAAAACTATATCAATGTTGAATATTTTTCCTTTAACTATTTGACTACCCCGTAAATCCTAATAAAAATGAATTTTGGTTTTCGTTATTAAGGCTAATAAATTCTTCGTATTATCCATCCATAAGATGCTCAGGAATGCCTTTTTCGTAATCTTCTCCATCAGATTTATATATTCTATCATCTTGAATTGTCTCATTTGTTTGATAACTATCTATAAAATCATTTAGAGCTATTCTTAAATCAAATTATTATTTTCTTACGCAATTCTTTTTGATTGGAAAACTTGTAAAAATCGTTTTTAAAATCTCTATTTTCTGAGTTATTAAAACAAAATTTGAATTAAACTTCTATTTAGCTCCCTTCATTGTGAAGTAATGGAGGTTAGAAAAAAGCTACGTTTCGAATTTTTTAACCCAAAAAAAGATCATTATCAATTAAATATTGTCATCATAATCAAAAAACGTTTTCACCATCAAAGAATATTCATACAAAAGCATCATTTCCCAAATTAAAATTCTTTCGTAGAAATAATAATAATAATATTATTATTATTTTATTATCACAAAACCACATAATCGTCAGCGTTCACTTTCAAGTCATCGTTAGAACCACCTAAAAATATCAATATTATAATTCGCTTCCGAATATTTTGACCTAAAAAATTCTCTACTTTTAATTGTCAGCAAAGAAAACATGAAAAAGAGCTCAATGCACCATTTTCCGTGTCAAAGAAAAAAAAAGTCTTCTTTACCATCAAATACAAATACCAAGACAACCAAAGAAGACATCAACGACAAGAACAACGATTACAATAAAAACGACAATAGTGCTATAACAATTCCTATACCAAAATATGATAATTAATAATAATAATTATTATTATTATAATGATGATAATGAAAATGTCGAAATCGAAATGGTGATGGTGATGGCTATTGTGATGGTGATAATGACGAAAAAGGAAATAGTGATAATGATAATGATAATATTGGTAATTTCTACCAATTACTTTCAGCCATCATCATGTCCATTATATTGAATCTTGTAAGCTCATATTTTAAGTTGTTCAACTTACAACAATTTTCAGTCGAATTGTTCAAATAGGACCTGGTAAAAATCGAGGTAAGGGGTTGGCTCTTTGAACAAAACTTCCTAGTAAAATAGCAAATACTTTATTTGAATACACTTTATTTGAATAGAAACTCTATCTTCATAAAATAAATTTGAATGCTTATATTAATATAATATGCCATAGCAAATTATATATATATTATGATTGATCTTATAAAGCAATATAAATAAAATAAAATGATTTTTAATGTTTCAATTGATTCACCTACTACTACGGAATTTTCATATCATTTGCACCGATAAGTCCAGTGGCTTAGTTGTACGATTAATTATTGTCTCAAAAAGGAAAAAATCGAGTTTTATATTTTAAATTTATAAAAGATATTAAGTTAAAAATGTCATATAATAAATTATTATCATCATTATCACGAGAAAGAAAGGAATTTGTACGTAAAATTGATAATGAAATGTATGATAATGCTCTGGGTAATTCTGATAGAGGAAGTAGAAAAGATTTTTTTTTTTCATTAGTCAAGAAAAATGAGGAGCTTTCTGAAATTGAAAAAGAACATTGCAGGGAAAGATTTATTTATCAATTTGAATTAGAAAGTGCAGTAAATAAATTGGGCAAACGAAAAAAATGTAACAAGTGTAAATTGAGAAGATACTCTGATAGATTCTGTGAAGGTTGTATTAGCTTACAATTACAGAATCTTTTTAATAATTGGACATCTGGAAATGACACAATTAACAAATTTATTCAAAAATGTCAAATGAAATCATCTCTGCCAAACTATATTTTAGAATGGATACCTTTTGAGCAATTTAAAGATGCAACAAAATTAACTGAAGGTGGATTTAGTTCAATTTATAAAGCTATATGGACAAGAGGGAAAATAATTGATTATGATGAAAATAAAAGAGATTTTAGTTATTTAGGAAGGCAACATGTAATATTAAAAAGTTTAAATAATTCAAGTAATCCAGGAAAAGCATTTTTTGATGAGGTTGGTATTTTTATTTTAAATAAAATAAATAAAGTTGTATTCTATAATACTAATTGGTTTTTATTACAGGCAATTAATTATTGTAAAATTAAATCATCTATGATTGCCACTTGCTATGGTATAACTAAATTCCCAGATAATGGAAATTATGCAATAATTTTAAATTATTATCTAGAAGGAAATTTAAGGGGTTATTTACAAAAAAATCATTCTAATTTGACATTAAAAGATAGAATTGCAATTTTTAGAT